CCATTGCTTCCTAAATCGTCGCCCCACCCCCCTTGCTTCCCATGTCGCCCCAACCGCGCGCGGGTAAGAACGGGGCCTCAACCTAGTTTCTTCCCTCCCGTGCTTACCCATGCAGCCCAGCCGCGCGCAGGGGTGAGGGAATGCAGTGCAGTAAACCACACGATCCCATGGTACTATCTATGTTCCGACGTCCCCCCCCCTTCGGAAAACGCAGTGCCCTCATAGGATTCCCAGGCTTGAAAGTCGACAACGAACCTTGGGAACAGGAGCCAGCCCCCCCCCCCCCCACCACCACCACCGCCACCACCACCCAACCTCGGGTCGAGGAGGAGGAGGAGGAAGAGGAGGGCTTAGGAGGAGGAGGAGGAGGAGGAGGGCCTAGGAGGAGGAGGAGGAGGAGCAGCAGCAGGGGTGACGAGGAGGATGGGGGCTAGTGAACGCAAGCTTGGGCTCTGGACCGCGCACTCGCCCCCCTGCCCCTGCTTCTGCCCCCGGGGTGGTGGGCCCACGGGCGACCGCGAGGGGATCAAGGCGCGCGAGGCTAGGGGAGAGAAGCGGGCCGAATGGTTGAGGAAGCAGCTTGCAGCAGAAGCAGCAGCAGCAGCAAACCCAGCAGCAGCAGCAACAGCTAAAGTACAAGCCTATATACGCTCGCCGAACAAAGGCGACTGGATTGGTGAAGGCGTTGGGCAACAATGAGGAGAAGGAGGCGGAGAAGGACACGGAGAAGGAGGAGACGGAGAAGGAGGCAGACACCGAGAAGAAGGAGGCGCAGGATATGTACTTCTATTCGAAGTGAGCCGCGCGCCGCAGGATACATATGTATATAGCGGCTTGCGGGCAAAATCATGCTTTGCTATCTGGCTCTGACTGCTTTTTACCCCTTGCACCTGCTCCTGCTGTCTCTGCGCCTGCCCTTCCTCCTCTGCACCTGCGCTTCTCCCCTGCGCACCCCTCCTTCTTGCCCCATCCTACTTCTCCTCAGCCTTTGTCCCCCCCCCCGTCCCCCTGCTCCTCGCGTGGAGAGCTTGGGAAAAACAGAAAGCGCGCTGCGCGCCCGTGCCCCCCAACCCCCTCCTCCTCGTCCTCTGCCTCCTAGCTCCTCCTCCTCCCCCTCCTCCTCCTCCTTCCGGTTCTCCTCCTCGTACTGCTACCTCCTCCTGCTTCTCCTCCTCCTCCTCCTCCTCCTCCTCCTCCTCTTCCACCTGCTCCTGCTGCTCCTCCTCCTCCTCCTCCTCCTCCTCCTCCTCCTGCTCCTCCACCTTATGTATGAATACTGCATATGTATATGAATGTCACTTGGAGGAGGAGGAAAAGGAGGAGAAGGGCAGCCGTTATGTGCGCGCTGGCGCTGCCGCCGCCCCGTGCAGCTGTGCGCTGGCACGCTGCTCCGCAATGCGGATGTCCGCCAGTGCGGGCGATGCTTGCTTCCACGTGTTTTTTGGGGCCGCCGCCCACCGCGCGCATGGTTGGCGTTTGTGTTAACGCAGCCTTTTGTTTAAGGGCTGGCGGTTCGGGGGAGGAGGAATGCATATACATATATATATATATATATGTGTAAATATGCAAATGTATGTATATACATACATATATATATACATATATATATATATACATACATATATATACCTATTTTTATATATATGTGCATGTATACGCGACACTTTACACGAACTGCTATATAACGTAGCAAATTCTGACGCTTTTTGCTACAACATTCTGACGCATGTTATGCAACATTCTGACGCATTTTGCCACGCAAAGCCGACGCATTTTATCAAGAAAAAACATCACATGTTATACAACAACTGACGCATTAAATGCGTCATTTTTCTGCGCAGCAAAAAATGAAACTGACGCATTTGTCCGGAAACTTAACATTAAGAAAACACATAAAAACCAAAATGCGTCAGATGACGCATTAATGCGTCGGAATGCGTCGGGAGGCACCTCTGGGTATGGGGCCACGAAACGTGTGAGGGGTGTGCCGAAATGGGTGTGCGGGATACATGCGGGCACACCCAGTGGGACCTTCTGGAGCTCCTATGGGGCCACGAAACGTATGAGGGATGTGCCGAAATGGGTGTGCGGGGCGCATTCGTGCACACCCACTGGGACCTTCGGTTGGGCTCCCTATGGGGCCGCGGAACGTGTGAGGGGTGGGCCGAAATTAGTGTGCGGGACGCATGCGGGCACACCCACTGGGACCTTCGGTGGAGCTCCCCACGGGGCCACGAAACGTGCGAAGGGTGTACCGGAATGGGCGTGCGGGACGCATGCGGGCACACCCACTGGGACCTTCGGTGGAGCTCCCTATGGGGCCACGAAACGTGCGAGGGGTGGGCCGAAATGGGTGCGCGGAACGCATGCGGGCACACCCACTGAGACCTTCGGTGGAGCTCCCTATGGGGCCACGAAACGTGTAAGGGGTGTCCCGAAATGGGTGTGCGGGACGCATGCGGGCACACCCACTGGGACCTTCGGCGGAGCTCCCTATGGGGCCACGAAACGTATGAGGGGTGTGCCAAAATGGGTGTGCGGGACGCACGCGGGCACACCCACTGGGACCTTCGGTGGAGCTCCCTATGGGGCCACGAAACGTATGAGGGGTGTGCCGAAATGGGCGTGCGGGACGCATGCGGGCACACCCACTGGGACCTTCGGTGGAGCTCCCTATGGAGCCACGAAACGTGTAAGGGGTGGGCCGAAATGTTTGTGCGGGACGCATGCGGGTACACCCGCTGGGACCTTCGGTTTGGGCCTCTATGGGGCCGCGAAACGTGCGAGGGGTGTGCCGAAATGGGTGTGCGGGACGCATGCGGGCACACCCACTGGGACCTTCGGTGGAGCTCCCTATGGGGCCACGAGCGGGCACACCCACTGGGACCTTCGGTGGAGCTCCCTATGGGCCCACGAAACGTGTGAGGGGTGGGCCGAAATGGGTGTGCGGGACGCATGCGGGCACACACCCGCTGGGACCTTCGGAGGAGCTCCCTATGGGGCCACGAAGCGTGTGAGGGGTGTGCCGAAATGTGTGTGCGGGACGCGTGCGGGCACGCCCGCTGGGACCTTCGGTGGAACCCCCTTATGGGGCCACGAAACGTGCGAGGGGTGGGCCGAAATGGGTGTGCGGGACGCATGCGGGCACACCCGCTGGGACCTTCGGTGGAGCTCCCTATGGGGCCACGAAGCGTGTGAAGGTTGTGCCGAAATGGGTGTGCGGGACGCATGCGGGCACACCCACTGGGACCTTCGGTGGAGCTCCCTATGGGGCCACGAAACGTGCGAAGGGGGTGCCAAAATGGGTGTGCGGGACGCATGCGGGCACACCCACTGGGACCTTCGGTGGAGCTCCCTATGGGGCCACGAAACGTGTAAGGGGTATGCCGAAATGGGGGGTGGAGCCGCATGCGAACGCAGCCACTGGGGCCTTCGGTGGAGCTCCCTCTGGGGCCACGGAACGTGCATGCGGGCACACCCACTGGGGCCTTCGGCGGAGCCCCCTATGGGGCCACGAAACGTGTGATGGGTGTGCCGAAATGGGTGTGCGGAGGAGGAGGGGGAGGAGGAGGAGAGGAGGATAGGAAGAGAGGAGGAGACGCGGGCCACCGTCTCTTCAAAACGCGGACCCAACACCACAGGATGGTTGGGAACAGTTTGGCAATCAAAAAACACTGCTTCTGGAGATTGGGCTTCGCTCAAGCGCGCGCGCCGGCCAAAGCCGCGCAAACAAAGACGGCTGAAAAATTTGGACGGCGACCTCGTTGACAACACGGACAGAGCACACGCAATGGCAGCGCACTTTGAACAAATACATACCGTGGACGGCGCGCCCAGCGACATGTATTGCACGCCATCCGCGGGGACCGGTACCGCCAATCGCAAAGGAAAATCTTACAGCGTGCGAGGTTGGTGCACCGACATCCGAACTTGAACGACATCCCAACAGAGTATAGAAGAGCTTGTCACAGGATCCCGAAGGGTTGGACACCATCACCGAAGTAATCAACAACCAGTGTTGGCGCGAAAGAAACGTTCCAGAAGACTTGCGGCATGCGCACAACGCCAAAATCTACAAGAACACGGGCCCGGTGGATCATTGCGACAGATTTCACCCTTTCAATCTGCTGAACGTCATGTGCAAATTGTTTACGAGTTTTGTGCTAAAGAGATTACAACAAGTAGGGGCCGATGATAGTTTGAGTAGAACACAGTCTGGACCCAGACGAAGAAAAAGGCACGACCGACGCCGTCCACGCCGCCCGCAGACGCATCGTGCTAGCATGTGCCGATCACGATGATGCCGTGCCCCTACTACCGCTCGACTGGGAAAAAAGGCCTCAGGCTCTTCTCGATGCACATGCCGCATGTGGCGTGCACCCTCATATGCTGCAACTGATCGGGAATATATCCATGCATCACATATATATATATATATATATATATGTATGTGTGTGTGTGTCGAATCGGACCCCTCGAAAGCAGCAGGTCGTGAAATCCATAATCGCAGAATGCCTCTAGGACCGGGCTGCGCCCGAATATGGACCGTAAAATTGCGCACCGACGGAATTCGCACCGCAAGTCGTAACGCCTGCGCAATCCCGCAAGTCTCATGGTGGGACCCATCATACGCGTGTCGATCCCTGGGCTTTGCCTGGAGACCGGAAGTACAAAGGCACCACGAAACAAATGTTTCTGGCGCTCGGGCTGAGAGGGGGGGGGCAGACGACCTACGGAACCGCTTCGGGACACTTGCGTTCCCTTGCCATGTGCCCCTAGAAGCTCAAGTCGGCATTCTGGAGCTATGCTGGATAGGCTCGGGCTCACGAGGACGAAAGGAGAGAGGAGTGGAGGTGCAAGGCTTGCGGGGGCACTCTAAGCTCTTGATTGTTTCTTCGGCGATGGAAGGGGCGCGCGCGATCAGCGAAGCTGTCTTACTGGCCGAGCTCGTAGCTGTGAACCTCCAGGCCAGTGACTTGTGAGCTGGGCCTCTCATGCCTTCAGGAACAATATCTGCCCTCTGCGATGACGGCGCACTCTGGAATGTGGGGCTTGCCGTGCCCTGGGAGACAGCTGTCGATGTCCTCTGCGTTGAAGGCGGGCACTGCGGTGGGCTGCCAAGGCGCTGAGGGACCTCAGGCGTTGTCTGCGACGTCGGCGGCCTCTGAACAGAGATCCCATTCCCAGAAAAAACTTGGATGCTATCTGTGGCGACGACGAACCCTGAGACGGGCTACCATTGCCCTGGGAAGCTGCGAATGCGATCTGCGATGTCGGCGAACTCTGAATGTGGGGGCTCCCATTGCCCTGAGACGCTGCCGGAGATGCTACCTGCGATGGCGGCGAACTCTGAGGAGGGGCCCCCATGCCCTCGCTGCCCATATTCAAAGAAATATCTGAGTGACTCCACTGCGGGCAGCTATGTCGTGTCCAGCACACTCGGGATACGGCAGCGACGGGCCTATGGTCATGTCCTCCATCTTCACGACCTGCGCGCGCAGTATCCGCTCCATGTGTGCCATAAGGCCCTGACCTGGCATGTCGCCCGCGCCCGTCTGGATGAGCGCCTCGCGGATCGCCGTAAAGTCGACGCCGTTGTTGCTCTGGAAGCTCAGCTGCAGCGTGCTCTGGGCCTGGTCGCACGCGTCGCTTGCCTTCGCCTTTGGTGCAAGCTCTACTATCGTCTCGAGGTCCATCTGCTGGAGCTTGTCGCTGGAGGTATTCAGGTTCTGCTGGTTGAGTGCGCCGACGGGCGTGCCGTCCTGACTGAGGCCCTCGAAAAGACCTGCAAACGCCGCGGCGCTCATTGTGGCGAGCTCTGCGTCGATCTGCTGTCCAGAAGCGTCGTTGCGAATCTCCTCGGCCCCCTCCATCCACGTGCGCGCCCAATCATTGATCGCCGCGATGCTTTTGGCGCCGGGTGGGACGAGGTTGGTCTTGATCATGATGGCTTCGGTGTGCCTCTGCCTCGCCGCCGCGTTCAATTGCAGCCTCATCGCGATGGGAAACAATCGCTGCATGTCCTTCAGGCCCATTTCCTCGTGCAGTATGGAGTCCAGGTCGATGATTTTGGCGATGCTGGCCATCGCGCAAGTCTGCTACTCTCCAAGCGGCATGTCTCCTCGACGTCGGTGCTCCTGCGCCGGCGCGGTGCTCGCTGCCGCGCACGCGTGTTCTCCGGCGGCGGGCAGTGAGTTCATCCGCGACATGCGGCCGCGGTGTCGGGGGGGGAATGGCAGCAATGTGAGCCTGGAGCTCGGGGAGGTTGGTGAAGGTGAGCTCGCGATCTTCGCTCGGGTAAAAGAACTGTTCGGGGTCGTCCGCGTCGAAGTTACATGATGATCGGCAGCTGACATTGCCCAGCTCGGCGGGGGGGCAGCAATGCGGTTGATCGCGGTCTGTCGGCTCGCGAAGGTCGATCGGCACTTCGGGCATTGGTTCGAATCGCGCGCAATCGCATGCTCGCCCATGTTCGCCCGCCTCCCCGCTCGTAAGATTGATGTGCGCGGCGCGCTTGTCTCGTTTAAGCTGCAAACAGGCATGCCGAACCATCTCCTCGCGAGAGCCCGCGCGCGTGGGGGCCGTTCCAGCAAGCGTCTGTCGCTGGCTTCTTGCATGGCTGAGAGGGCTGTTCCAGCCGCCGCTCGCGCGCGCGTGCGATCGTGAACTCGACGAACTCACCCCGCCCTGGTGCGCGGCGGAAAGAATCCAGCATATCGTCGCCTATGACCTATGACGTCGACGCAGGCACGACCGTCCGCGAACGCGCTCAGGAGCTCCATGTCCACGGAGGACCGCGCGCGCCAGGGGTTGCGGCTGCGCGTCGGGGCCAGGCGCGCAGGGCCGAGAGGGGCCCGAGAGACATCGAAAGTGGACGTAGTCTCGCAGAGCTACTTGGCCCAAATTAGCCCGACGAGGGACCCAACCATATGCAGGTGTGCGTACCGCAATAGTGATTCACTTTTTCGGTGGCGATCCCTATGAGGCAACGAACCGTGCTAGGGGTGTGCCGACATGGGTGGCGTGGTGCACAACGCGAACGAAAACGATTGATCTGAGTACGTAGGGAGACTGAGCGCGGGTGAATCTGCGCGCGTGCGTCTGACTGTGAATGAATCTGCGTGCGAGCGAGTCTACGTGCATGAATGCGAATATGACAGAGCGTGGTGCCATTGTGTATGAATGTCAATAGTTCGACAACGACTGCCTCTGAGTACTCGCGACGCTGGGCGTGGCCGCCGCAAGGAGCCTCCCCGGGACTCCCCGACGGCATCGCCCGCGCGCCGCGACGCCAATGTCGGCGCGCCCCCCCGCGAGGATCGCGCCCGCTTCCTCCCCTTCCTTTACTCCCTCTTTGCCCGCGCACTTAAAAATCCAAGGCTGCGGGCGCAGCGCAGCGCGGAGCCCCCGCGACTCGCGCAGGTCGCGCGCGGGTCGTCCACTGCGCGGAGCAAAGAGAGCTAGCTGGCTGGCTGATAGCGGGCAAGGCTCTTGCCGCTGGGCAGAGCGACGACGGGCAAGCGAGGCGCTGGGCAGAACGCAGCACGGAGCCCCCGCGACGCGCGCAGGTCGCCCCGGAGGGGTCCCAGCGACGCGCGCGGGTCGCCCGCTGCGCGGAGCAAAGACAAGGGACCGCGCCACGGGGACCGTCGGTGGAGTTCCTATGGGACCACGAAACGTGTGAGGGGTGTGCCGAAATGAGCGGCGGGAACGCATGCGGACTGAGCCACTGGGACCTTCGGTGGAGCTCCCCATGGGGCCACGAAACGTGTGAGGGGTGTGCCAACATGAATGGTGGGAACGCATGCGGACTGTGCCGCGGGGACCTTCGGCGGAGCTCCTATGGGCCCACGAAACGTGTGGGGGGTGTGCTGAAATGAATGGCGGGCGCGCATGCGGACTGTGCCACCGGGACCTTCGGCGGAGCTCCGATGGGCCCACGAAACGTGCGAGGGGTGTGCCGACATGAATGGCGGGGACGCATGCGGACTGTGCCACCAGGACCTTCGGCGGAGCTCCTATGGGGCCACGAAACGTGTGAGGGGTGTGCCGAAATGAGCGGCGGGGACGCATGCGGACTGTGCCAATGGGACCTTCGGCGGAGCTCCTGTGGGGCCACGAAACGTGTGAGGGGTGTGCCGAAATGAATGGCGGGGGCGCATGCGGACTGCGCCACGGGGACCGTCGGTGGAGTTCCTATGGGGCCACGAAACGTGTGAGGGGTGGGCCGACATGAATGGCGGGGGCGCATGCGGACTGCGCCACTGGGACCTTCGGCAGAGCTCCTATGGGGCCACGAAACGTGCGAGGGATGTGCCGACGTCGCACACCCACAAGGACCTTCTGGAGCTCCTATGGGGCCACGAAGCGCGCAAGGGTGTGCCAAAATGGGTGCGCGGGACGCATGCGGGCACACCCACTGGGACCTTCGGTGGAGCTCCCTATGGGCCACGAAACGTGTGAGGGGTGGGCCGAAATTGGCGTGCGGGACACATGCGGGCACACCCACTGGGACCTTCGGTGGAGCTCCCTATGGGGCCACGAAGCGTGCGAGGGATGTGCCGAAATGGGTGTGCGGGACGCAGTCGTGCACACCCACTGGGACCTTCGGTGGGGCTCCCTATGGGGCCGCGGAACGTGCGAGGGGTGTGCCGAAATGGGTGTGCGGGACGCATGCGGGCACACCCACTGGGACCTTCGGTGGAGCTCCCTACGGGGCCACGAAACGTGTGAAGGGTGTACCGAAATTGATCTGCGGGACGCAAGCGGGCACACCCACTGGGACCTTCGGTGGAGCTCCCTATGGGGCCACGAAACGTGTGAGGGGTGGGCCGAAATGGGCGTGCGGGACGCATGCGGGCACACCCACTGAGACCTTCGGTGGAGCTCCCTATGGGGCCACGAAACGCGTGAGGGGTGTCCCGAAATTGGTGCGGGACGCATGCGGGCACACCCACTGGGACCTTCGGTGGAGCTCCCTACGAGGCCGCGGAACGTGTGAAGGGTGTGTCAAAATGGGCGTGCGGGACGCATGCGGGCACACCCACTGGGACCTTCGGTGAAGCTCCCTACGGGGCCACGAAACGTGTGAGGGGTGGGCCGAACTGTGTGTGTGCGGGACGCATGCGGGCACACCCACTGGGACCTTCGGTGGAGCCCCCCTTATGGGGCCACGAAACGTGCGAGGGGTGTGCCGAAATGGGTGTGCGGGACGCACGCGGGCACACCCGCTGGGACCTTCGGTGGGGATCCCTATGGGGCCACGAAGCGTGCGAAGGGTGTGCCGAAATGGGCGTGCGGGACGCACGCGGGCACACCCACTGGGACCTTCGGTGGAGCTCCCTATGGGGCCACGAAACGTGCGAGGGGTGGGCCGAAATGGATGTGCGGGACGCATGCGGGCACATCCACTGAGACCTTCGGTGGAGCTCCGTATGGGGCCACGAAGCGTGCGAGGGGTCTGCCGAAATGGGTGTGCGGGACGAATGCGGGCACACCCACTGGGACCTTCGGTGGAGCTGCTTATGGGGCCACGGAACGTGTGAAAAAGGTGTGCCGAAATGGGTGTGCGGGACGCATGCGGGCACACCCGCTGGGACCTTCGGTGGAGCTCCCTATGGGGCCACGAAACGTGTGAGGGGTGTGCCGAAATTTGTGTGCGGGACGCATGCGGGCACACCCGCTGGGACCTTCGGTGGGGCCCCCTTATGGAGCCACGAAACGTGTGAAGGGTGTGCCGAAATGGGTGTGCGGGACGCATGCGGGCACACCCACTGGGACCTTCGGCGGAGCCCTATGGGGCCACGAAACGTGCGAGGGTGGGCCGAAATGGGTGTGCGGGACGCATGCGGGCACACCCACTGGGACCTTCGGTGGAGCTCCGTATGGGGCCACGAAGCGTGTGAAGGGTGTGCCAAAATGGGTGTGCGGGACGCATGCGGGCACGCCCGCGGACCTTTCAGTGGAGCTCCCTATGGGGCCACGAAACGCGCGGGGTGTGCCGAAATGTGTGTGCGGGACGCATGCGGGCACACCCGCTGGGACCTTCGGTGGAGCCCTCTATGGGGCCACGAAACGTGCGAAGGGTGTGCCGAAATGGGTGTGCGGGATGCATGCGGGCGCGCCCGCTGGGACCTTCGGTGGGGCTCCTTATGGGGCCACGAAGCGTGTGAGGGGTGTGCCGAAATGGGTGATGACGATGATGATGGTGGGAGGATGAGGAGGAGGAGGAGGAGGAGGAAGAGGAGGAGGAGGAGGAGGAGGAGGAGGAGGAGGAGAGGAGAAGAGGAGGAGAAGAGGAGGAGAGGAGACGCGGGCCACCGTCTCTTCAAAACGAGGACCCAACACCACAGGATGTATGGGAAAAACAAACGAGCAGTTGGGCGCGGCGTTCAGGTTCACGAGCGACGCGTTGCAATCGTTTGAGTCGCACGATCTGATGTCGAACGACGGCGGCGCCATGTCTAGACGCATCCATACTTCATGAGAAGAAACAATACGCGCCACCTCTATGATGCCCGCGGCGCCGTTGCCATCTGCTGTCTGCTTGATGTAGGCGGCGCCTAGCAGAAGTGCGCGGGCGCGTCGAGCTGCGCAGGCGTCGATCCGATCCTGTTGCGCTTTGGTGGGCGCACGCGCTTCCAAGCCCGATGTCGCTACTGGCGGCGCTTGGCTGCTGAATTCAATTTTTCGTCGGCCTAGATATCTGCAATTATCCCACTTGCATCCCGCGCTTCGCCGTCCTCGAGCGATTGCCGCGCAACGCGCCCCGGTCTTCGCGCGGCTCTGACCGTTGGGCTGCCCCGCCGCGCCGGGGGAAAGCGCGGGCGAGCGCGCCTCGCCATCGGCGTTGACCTTGCCGCGGCGCAAGGGGCGGGCGCGCCGATCGGCGCCGCTGCCGGCGACGGCGGGTAGCGCCGCTTTCGCCCCCTTATTCTGCTGGGGGCCGATCTCTTGGAGCTCCGTTCTGAGGGCGTCGTCGGGATGCTGGATCTCGTGGGCAGCCATCTGCGCGTCGCGGCGCATGCGGGTCTTAGCGAGGTCGACCGCGCACTCGCGCGCGCCGAGGTCGACGTTTGCGCCCGTG